TAATATATAAATTATATAATATAATCTTTATATAAAGTAACATACTTTTACAATTTATCTAAATTTTAAATATCAATGATTGTTTTAAGCAGATAACTGATGTTAATGAGATTAATAAAGTTGCTATTTTTTTAATTGAGTTAATTAAATTTTGAGCACAGATAACATAATGCAGCGAGATCTATAATGTATTATTTCACGATTATCTTCAGATTTGTGATCGCAGCTAATAATTTATGGAACATCTGCACACAAAAAAAATTCAAAATGTTACACATTTTTATAATTAAATAATCAATTTTATGTGTGCAATTAGAAATGTACTTTATAGCACAACTAGCTATGCAGTATATTAATTACTAAAATAATTATATATTTTAATTTTTTATGTATTTTTCAAACATAAATCCAAAATTGTATTTATTCAGATATGTAAATCAGTATATGTATTTTCTTTTAAATCAAATGCCAATTTTGACTTTTTGTTTATATATGTATCGTAATCGTTTGTCTCTGGATGACAATATATTTTTCCCTTTCTTATCTTAGGCGTCTGCATAGCATAAATCGCTGGTCTGTTCTCGTTCTGGTCTAATCTTCCCGCATCGTGAACCAGTTTATTATTTTAGAGCGAACCCCTTCCTACGGAATCCTATTCTCCGTTATATTTTCCTCGTCCGCGTCTCGTCTTTCTTTCCATCCCTCTTTCTTTCTCCCTCTCTTTCTTTTTCCTGCTTTTGCTCACATAAACTCCTTGAACCATCCGATTTTTGGATAAATGCTATTTTAAAAATTCACCTACGCGCCATGACGAATGCACGATAAAGTACGTATTAGGATTTTTTACTTGAGTTTGTGTGAAACATTTTTGTTCATATACATACTCGTGTGGAACATGTATGTGTGCAATACTTAGGATATCACTATATGTTCTCTTCGACAAGAAGTTTGACACGAGTGTTGGCACTTGAGCCATAAGAGAGTAAATCTTGAGAGACTTATCTTGCTTGATCTCCTTGCACTTCTTATCATTTTTATTACCGCTTGTTTAATCCGATATAGCTGAATATAGAAATTTTCGTTAATACATGGAAGTTTCTGTTATGTCAATGAGGTGCCGTTTGAGATGTTACAGAGCGTCAAATTCTCCTTGAAAATTTTTCAAAAATAAAGTAGAAAAGTACAAATATAGATAACTGAATCTATTATTATTATAATTTATATTACTCAAAATATACAAATTATTATTATTGTTACTGAGATATTTTTTTTTATATATAATTATATATAAGATTCATATATTTTTTATCATTCTATCTAAATTTTTTGAACATTAAATTAAATAAAGAACTCATATATATTTTCTAGTAAATTTTTATCAATTTAGTCTCGGTAAAATATTAAGAAAAAAAAAAATTTTTGAATATTTATTCATTTTCCATATATTTATGATATTTAATTAGATAATCAAAATAAGATAATTCTTATAGTCACAAATAAAATTAATTAAGTAAATTGAAGAAAAACAAAATTATAATTATCATTATTTAATACATATTTTTATTTAAGCTTTTGCGGACATATTAATGAAAATATCTATTTTTGACTGTAAAGAATTAAAATATTTCTTACTTCGCGTGCTTATCTTCCACACTGATGAAACTAACATCATCTCGTTAATACGAACACCAAAACAGCATGGAGGCTGTCAGTAACATCGTTGAGTGACTCTTCTTGCACCTCGTGTATGCATTCGTCGTCAGCTTAATGTACATTCCGCTTGCGACGTTCGTTAAAGAAGAATTCTTTCGTGCTATTTTATTCGCTCTCAATAGTTAAAAAATTTTCTATGAAATTTGGTCACAAGGTCATTTTTAAAAAATCTATAATCGAAATATAGATAAATCTATATTCGAAACTATATTCATGAACTGAAATAATAATATATTGTCTCAGATTAAAAATATATATTTACATTACTATAAATAAGGAGGAGATAAGTTCATGATTACTTTTATTATTGATTATATTTACATATAATTGTTTTTTAAAAATGAAAAGATAAACTAAAAATTTATAATATATTAATGTAAATTATAAATACGTACATAATTTTATGTAGCGTACAAGTGATTTTTCCATCGTCATGTATCATATAATTGCAAGGAATTAATTTATTACTTTGTATTTATATAAAATTCCCCATCATTGGAAGTCAAGAAAAATCGTAGAATAGAATCGTTCCAATCTCACTTTATCAAAAAATTTACCTTATAGGAATCCTCTTTCGACCCGTTTCCTCCAACCGCGCGATAACGTTCTAAGATCAGCGAAATGTCAGCACTATTTCGGGAGCTGACAGGATCGATTGTCGAGTCGCGTTTCCGCGAGAAGGGGAAGCGTGTCCCTGTACTTTATATCGCAGACGCGATTTTTCTAAAGAATGACAAAGCCGGTATGTATTTGAATACGTGACGCAACAAGGCACAGGCTTGTCTCTATGGTGTTGCTCAAATAAGGATCGTCAGCTAAAAAAGCCGAAAAAGAAGCCTTCCGCCGCCGTCACTTTTATGGCGGGCAAACATGCCCTTCCAACAACGTGTGGCGTGCAGTGTTTCTAACAGCAGCATGTTGCTGACTCTGTCGCTTGCGATGCATCCCCCTGTCCGTTTACAAAAATATATTTCAACATCATATTATTTTTTGAATCCAAGTATATGTGAATTTGATACATAAATTTTTCTAGCTTTTGTACGACAAACTCGAAATTTATTTTGTAACATAAATATCTTTACCATTCGCAATATTTAATTTCAATTTTAGAATACCAACACTCAAAAAAATGTCTTGCTGATATAGATAGATTTCTAGGTGTCACAACAAAAATTTATCGCTATTTTTTGTATCTGTTAGAATAGTGTCTGTTACATATAGAATTTATAGCAGCAACATTCTAATAATATCTTCTAGAAAATTTAGGTCCCATTGCCAAATGTTAATCACTGCATTGGATAAATATGAGTTTCGATATCACAGTATTTGCTAATCATTTATGTACCTCAGTTAATTTTGCGCACCCAGAAAATTTTTGCTGTAGTTGCAAAACCACTTTTTTGAGTGAATAGAAACTTTATTCGTTATTTTAATATAGTTCAAAATTCTTTTTTGACATTATGACAAAAATAAAGAGGCTCATGTAAAGCTTTAAAGACTGCGTCATCGAGTTTATCCATCATACGATGACGATACGTCTCCAAACTGTCTGATGACCGACTGGGGAATTTGTCAGTCGGGGGGAAGTACATCTGAAAGAAATCTTCCGCGGTATCAACAAAACTGTTATCGCTACCGCAAAACCGTTGTGACGTAAATGGTGTAGGGCTACTGTTCAATTGTATCATCCGGTATGGATCATTGCATCATTCGGCATCATGGCAAAACGATATTAATATCTCGGATGTAAAATTTAACAGAAATCTTTTATTAAAGCTTCATGCTCTATTAAGAGTTACATAATTTAACAACGCAAATATACTGATTTAGATTATTGGGATAGAAAATCGTGCGCGACAAAGAAATCAACAGAAATTTTCTTAGCAAACGTTATTTAATTCTACAGACTTTGTTTCTCCGCTAGATTTAAATTAATTACATCGATTAATGGATCATAAATATAAATAGGATATGGTCGAGATGCATCAACGTTTTTTTAAAGCGGACGTATCTCTCGATGCGCACCGCTACGCATTCTTGAGCCACGATAGGTCGTGTAATCATTTTTTACGTAACTATATTTTACATTTTTACTTACATCACTTATATTTACGCCCGCAACTGTAAATCAAGAATTCTTTCCCCTCTTTATTACTAATTTATGAATTATTGAAATATTGAATATTGAAATTATTGAAGTATTGAAATTCACTGAAATACGAGAACTTGAATAATTCACTTTTAGAACTGTATACAAGTCAATGTTTTCAAATTCTAAATAAAGCAAATCAATGATAAAATTTTTGTAATTCTAGCTTATACCGAAATTACATTCTCATCTATTGATATGAATATATATTATAGTATGTTTTTTCAAGAAATGATAAAAACATACTTGAAGAGTGGTTCGAGTACTGTGTGGCCTCATTCATTCACCGATATTATTTAACAAAACTATCTTTTTGCAAATTTAATATATAATTCTGTGTATGTTTCCAGATAATATCGGAATGCAAATAACAGATATAATTTAAGATTTGCTAACAATTTTGTTTACCGTAAAAATATGAAGCACTTTAAAAACATTTACAGCGTTTAAAATATGGAACTTTCTATACAAAATAATCTAACGAAGTTATATCATTTGTTTCAGGGAAACAATCGTCTTCACATGCTGTACTTGATCTGATCGTAGTACATTGTCGCGGGCGGTGATGTCGACGCGTGATGGATATTCGACGAAACTGCACCAGGTATGTTGGATATACTTAGACCACCGATGTTGCTTAAATTTAACGAACCCAGCGAGCTCAAGGAGCTCAAAGCTACTGATCCTCCGGGATGCGCGAAGTAGGATGGCTTACGGTCAATGATGCCACCGCCAGAACTATTTGAACTCGAGCTAGAACTGCACTGCATTTTTATGCCTGAAATAAAAAAATTTCACAAATTATTAATTATATCAAAACTATGTATTTTTCACAAGAATATTTTGCAAAGTATCTGAGAAATTTCTTAAATTTTTTCTTAGTAAAAATATGATTAATTTATATTCTCTCATAGTTTTGCACAATTTTTGATATAATAATATTTTATAAAAATAAGTAGAAATATCTCACAGTCTAAATTAAAATTAACAAAGAATTAAGATTACGTTAATGCGCACAAAGATTCATTATCTTTAATGAATAATACAAGAACAGCTTATTGGATATATCAAGCGTCGTCTTGATATATACTTGCACGAACTTTTTTTCTATCTGTTTAACAAGAGATGAAAATATTTAATTCCGATTTTTAAACATTTTATATGCGCGCGGATGAGATTTCATTCCAATTTTATTATTTAAAACGACACGCAGTGGAAAGGAATGAAAGATCTCACGATAAAAATTGGTACTTGGGTTAGGCTCCATAAATCTAAAGCTCCGGCAGTTCTCAAGTAGCTTCTTCTCAAGCGGCCACTTCACTCGTGTCTCGATTTTGTTTTTTTTTTCTTTCTCTCTTGCATCTTCGTATTAATTTTCGCTTCTTATATTCACATGCGAATTACGGATTTACTCATATTTCTTCAAAATTTTCGGTAAGACCATTGTTTCAAATATTTATCGAGCGAATATTGTTAATTTTTTCGTAATATCTCCGTTATTTCAACTCGCAAAGTTTTCCGGCGCTACGTGAGGCTTTAAAATTACATTGCATCGTTTCGATTCGAAGATCAACCAGTTTTCTCGATTCGGAAGCGCGACGTTGCGATGTCTTGGAACGACTTCGTGGGTGGTCCGATGGCGCTCCTGTCAGTCAAAATCCCTCTCGTAGGTCCAAATGCTCTCCGTGCTCGCCCGTGTGTGTACTCGCGCCATTTCTTCTTCTTTTTTTTTTCCTTCGAGCAAGCGTGCGCGAACGCGAAGATGCTGGCTTTCAAGGAGCACACAAGTCCGCTCCTGACCGGAATACCGGCACAACAGACCATAGTTCGGAGTAAAGAGATCGCGCTCCAGAAATATACGTAGAGCGTGGCGGGTAAGAAGAGTAAAAAGGCGAGCCTACCGTGGCGTCTGCGTGGATCGATCTCGTTTACACTCCACTGACTGACGGAAGACGAACAAGAAGAAGAAATCTGCGATGGGGAAAGCGTGGGTGGCGGCGTTTATCTCCTGTCGATCCACGTTGTATCGAGATACAGGAGGAAGAGATTTACCCTCCTTAATCGAAATTAGACCGTTCGCGAACCGAGATATTTATAGAAACTTAAAAATACGCTTGGGAATATTTCGACGTTTACTTTTTACTCAAATTTGATACGTCGTATAATGTTAAATTATAGCATTTAATTCATTATCAATATAAAATATATTTAAAATTTTCTAAAATCTATTTGAGAGATATTAAAGTCTTGATTTCAAGATTATAAAAAAATTAATTATTTGTTTAACTTATTTTGAGAGAAATAACGTGATTATTTTTTTTTCTATTAGAATATAATATTCGTTATACAGCTTTCCTTAACCATACAGCTTTAATTGAGATTTGACATAATTATCAAAGTTTAAGATTAAATCGAAAAGAGTTACGAGCAATAAAAAGTTTAAGTGAACAATTTGTGGATCAATATGCTTTCGGTAAAGTTAGCGCCGTAAATATTACGATGCTTCATTCTCTATAGGGTTAAGGCCGAATTAAATCACTCGTTTATACCTCTGATAAATATTTGTGCGATAAACGATTCGAGCACGTACTTGTTAGCACGCGACTACGCTTAAGAGGCGAAAAACTGCATTTTACGCGCTTCTCGCTTGACCTCGAAAATAAATAATGATTATTTTTATGTAGAGTGAGATAATCCAATTATCAAATTATTCAGAATCACATTTTTAATATTATACCGAAATAAAGCATTAACATAGATTATTTAAATCTAAGAAAACATATATGTATCTATATACGATATCTGTCTGTTATATTTGCATAGATTGCAAATAAGATATTGCAGATAAAATTCGGTATAATATTTTTTACTCGCATCGAAACTATCGACGGTTTCGTCATCGTTACCATGAAGCATAGTGTTAACGAGCATTTTATTATCGCGTTGTCAGACGCAGTGCTGGCTAAATTAATCTCGCGAGAAAAGGAAACGCGTCTTGACGCCTCCGTCTTACGGCAAGTTACACGTGTTAAGTTACAGAGTACAAGTTATGAGTTCGAAAAGCGTTGCATAGGGTGTGACAGGGATGTCATCTCGGTTAATTCTTTCTGTCATCTACGACGATTTAAATCGTCATAGTTGCTTTGTATCTATCCATCCGTATTCTCTCTGACAATATTAATCTTTTTATTGTACCATCATATAGTCAATCAAGATTGCCTGAACACGTTATCCGTCATACATGTATATAGATATTTCTGTTTTAAAAAACATACATTATGTAAAAATAAATTATTTTTCAGGATTTATTATAATGTCGTATATTTGAAGATATAACTAGTACTCGTATAATATTATAAATTGATTTAGCATTACTTTTATATTTTCAGGAAAACAAAATTAAAAGTTAACATAATATTTTTGTTCAATTAAATTAAATTAATATTATATCTGTTAAATAAAAATACAGGCATTATATATAAATTAATATTACATCTTTTAAAATATAATACAGGCAATTTTGAATTGGATAAAATGAGGATTACATCGAATGAGAATTATATCCTTCTAAAAAATTACTTCTTTGCCGATGCATAAGTACTCTGAGGCTGAACCTTGGTCTTGCGCCTATAATTTTTTTTTTATTATTATAAAGGATGGAAGGTTTGAAAGAATAGTCGCGCCATGGTTTCACTTTGCAGGACACGGCGCCTGAAAGATCGTAAACTGTCTCCAATTTTCCAGATGGCCCCTAAATGACGTCGCGAGCCGTCAACGTCGTCCTCGCGACGCAAAGAGAGCTCAAAGGTCGTAAGCGCGATATCTCGTTGCATTTGTCTATTCTCGTGCTCAGTGATCTCGTATTTTTGATCAAGCTCGCAATTTAAACTTTTTAACAATAACGCTCTAAATCTGTCTCTAACTAAAATCGCATCGTCGCGTAGTATTATATTTAATTATCACATATATATAAATCTTTTGCATTTGATATTTCTAGATTGTATTAGATTCTCTCTATGCTTTATTATTTGTGTAATTTCCACTCTCATTTCATTATGTATTTATATATATCAGTAAAGTTTCAAAGACGACTTTTTAGAATGCGTGATATTTTATAATATTCGTTAAACAGAAATATTGAAAAATTAAACAAAAGGGCTATTGAAAAATTAATAATTAAGAATATATAATATATGTACTTTACGTGTTATAAAAAAAATTCTTAAAATTACTTAAACTCATTGCGATTTGCGCAGATAACGTAATTATTTAACAACTAAAAAAAAAAAATATAAATATTTTTTTTGACGGGAAAGAAAATAGCATTTCTACTCACCGTGATCCGCAGGGGTCTGGCATCCGCTATGCGGCGAGCTAACATTGGCTATAGGACTGCTATTACCACCCGGTTGTTCTTGCATAGATTGCATGGCGATATTGACGCCGGTAGTATTGTTGACCCCCGCGAGGCCATAACCGACGTAATAATCCTGTCCGGGTGCTTGAGTGGTGGGCGTCGAGCACTTTGAATAGTTGCTCATCATTGTCTCGTCCTTATAGTCGGTTGCATGATGCTGCTGATGGTGATCTTTCACCGTCGGGAAACCGTCGGTCGGCGGCCGGTAGGCACACAGCTGATCCTGACTCCTGGCGCCGAAACCAGGCTCGCTCTTGAACGTCACCAGTTCGCCGTTCCTATAAACCGATGGCGACGATTCGCTTCCGGTCTTGTATGTGACCTCGGTGGTCTTGTAGGTCACCTCGGCTATCGGCGGCGCCGACTTGTACGTCGTGTGCCCGTCCGGGTACGCCCAATCGGCGGAGACCGCCGCGCTCGGTGCGTACATGGCGTATTCCTGATAATTCTGATACTGATTCTGATAACCGTTGGCGTATTCGATACCGCCGGGACCGGTGGCCAAATTCTCGTACGGACCAGGTGTTTGCACGCCGACGGGGCCGGCGCCAGAATAGTATTGCGGATACTGAGGTTTCAGGGCTTGACACTTGCGTCGAAAGCCGCGTGGCCGTCGCCGGAAACTACCCTCCTCAAACATGTACTCGGTGGACGGATCGATGGTCCAATAGTGACCCTTGCCGGGTCTACCCAGGCCCTTGGGCAACTTAATGAAGCACTCGTTTAGGCTGAGATTGTGACGCACCGAGTTCTTCCAGCCTTGATAAGTGCCCCGGAAGAACGGAAAACGCTGCTGCAGAAACGAGTAGATCTCCGACAGAGTCAGCCTCTTACCTGGACTCGACTGGATGGCCATCACGATCAGTGCGATGTACGAATACGGCGGCTTCTCTTGGCGACGAGTTCCGGGTTTTCTGGGTATCTCGTTACTCGTCGGATTGCACATCAACGGCTCTAGATTCGTCTCTTGAGTCAAACTACTCGTGCTCATCGGCAGCAACGCCGATCGTGCGGCCATCGTGGAATTCGGGTGTACGACGACCGTTTGCTCCTGCTGTCGCAGACCGGAATCGGACTCATTCTTCATGGTCAACCGCATACTTTCGACGCCGGCGTCGCGCGGCATCGACGGCACAATCACGCTCTGGTCCATCGAGTCTTGGTTCTTTAACGATCGGCGATCGTCAAAGTTCAGCCGTGACGAACATATCTTAGCGAGCGATGTTTCCGAATGATATAACGAATAAATACACTATCCGATTTGCAACGATTCGCACAGAGATATCACGAAGATTGCACACGAAACAATACAATTATTATATCGTACGATTAATCTTCCGCAAAAATCGAAATCGAAACGATTAGAACTTGATCATTTCTCTCTGACGGAGCAACGAACTCGCACGGGACCTTCGCCGCCACCGATAAACGCGACGCCGAGGTTGCGGATATTTACACAATCGGATGTAAATTGTTTGCGCGATTCCGCCGCGGAGGGGTCAATTATTTAGACTCGCTTCTCGACGACGTACGGCTTACGGAGTCGTTGTGAGATGCGCCGCTAAGTGTTTTCGGATGACTGCTGTTCGCCCGCTCGGCACGAGAGCGGAATCTCGCCCGCGGATGACGTTGATCGCAGCGTGACAGCGTCGAGACGAGCATCTCTCTCGTAGGCGTGACGATAAAGACGAGAATACGAGACTCGGATTGGCCGTACGCCGACGTTTCGGATGAAAGCCGGATGCTGTGACCAATGGCGTCTCGAACTGCTTTCGCATCATCGCGACTCCAACAACTTCTTCGTCGTCGCGGAATTATGGGGAAGTGGATTGCGTAATGGCGTTATTTGGATTCATCCGTCGGTGGTGTATGCTATCATATGGATCATTGCGTTCTATAGGAAGTCTGCAATTAGCGTGATGTTGTAAGAGAAAGATAGAATAAGATACTCATTTATTAAGGCAAGCAATGAAATGGAAAGTACACACACACATATATAACTAAAAAATACTTGTAAAAACCGATGAAATGTGATTTATAAATATTGAAAAAGTTCAGAAAATGTTTATGAAATGTCAGAAGGATATCTCCCGAATTTAAAACATTTCTAAATGTTTATATTGATCTATGAAGCCCTATATTTCTTAGTTGGGATAGTTGAATATAATGACAAGTATGTGTGGACATGATATGCTTTCGCGTTAATAAATACTGGATGGATATCAAAGATGCATGCTTTAAATATAGACATTTCGACGAAATCGCAACTTGGCGAGAAATTTTTTTATTCAATTGTTTTTTTTATTAATTTTATAGAAGTACACCAAAGAATGCAGATTTTTTTTATATAGTGGATTTAAAGCTTAAAATTGTATGATAAATATTACACTGCAAGATTTCATATTTAGAATTTTATTATCTATTTATGCTTTTCTTAAAAAAACACAAAAAATAATTTTTTTCATTCGGAAATAATTAAAACATTAAAATTATTTTTATTTTAAAAAATGGACAATTTTATAAACTATAAAATAGTTATATATAATATAAAATTATTTTTTGCATATATTTAAATATCTATCAAATGTTGAACATATAAGAATAATGTTTAAAGACCTTAAGACATTCTCCTAAAATCATATTTTTTGACCTTATATATACTTTTTTCGGAAACCATTGATCCAATTTATAATTTTTTTATTCAATAAATAAGAAAAAAGTAAATTATGATTCGATTGTTCGATTTAAAAAAATTATAGATTTATCAAAAATTACGTGACGTTCAAAGCCGCCAAAAAGTACTTTATTTAAATTATAATAAAATTTCGGAAAGTGCTTATTTAGCAAAAAGCATCGAGCGCGATTGAAGTGTAGACAAATATATTATAAAAAAAAGTAAAAAAAAAGTTATTTGCTGATATTATATTAAATCAGTGTTGAGAAAACGCAATATAAGAGTAAATAATTTTGCCGTATGATTTTGCAATTGCACTCTATCTTTCTCAAGAAGTATTAAGATTTGGTAAGAAAAAATCTCTGAACTCTCCAAATTGAATCAAAATAAGCGAAAAGTGGATATTGTAGAATACATTGATTCTCCAGAATGTTGCATATGCATTTGTCATTCTATTAATATTGGATTATCGAATATATGTTAATAATTATATAAAATTTGCAAGTATTATGTAAGTGTGTTATTCGTAAATATTAAATTAATTATATTTATACGTGAAAATTTTCACAATATTCATGGCAATATAAGCGATGCTAAAGCATTCATATTGATATTCTTTGCACAAGCAACTCGTACTTAGTTTACTTGAAAATTACAAGTGAGTATCGCTTCGAAAGATTTTGCTATCTGTTTGCGCTGAGTAATGTATCCGTCCTCGGAGCTGCGATGCACAGCTGCGGATGCAAATGATGAAGAAGACGAAGAGAAGCAATTGGTCCATCTCTTAACCAACAGGATGCTGCTAGTTTGCTCCGCCCGTTCATAGAACCGCCTTATGTTATTTCCTCACGGCGAAGCCTCGTCACAAAATGCATTTTTTTTTAGCGGAGTACACTTTTTTCGAAGAGTTAAACGATTTCATTATTTTTGTCTTTTATGCATATTTTTTTTTTTTAAATTTGGAATAAAAATATTACTATAATTATTAAGAAAAGATTCTTTAATTTAATTTGGAAGTTAGATTTTTTTTTTTCGAAAACATCGATAGTACATAATAATCGATAATACAAGATAATTCACGTTAGCTTAATAAAGTTTAATGCATTATTGACATTTAATAATTAAATTTATTAATTAAAAAGGTTCTCATGATATTGCAAATCTATCCATAAACTCAAAATTGTTTAACTTCTCTTTTTAATTTTTTATATAATTATTAGTACATATATTCGATCTAAAAATATACTCAAGTTTTTTTTTTAGATCATATTTTCAATCTTGAAAGATAAAAGAATATCTGTCTCTAAAATTCTTTTAAACTTTCAAGAATTGGAAATTTTATTCTATTGAATTATTAATTAAAGACACAACACACATACACATTCTCATAGAATAGATATTACATAATTGAATGCATCTATGCAATATTTTGGAGAGCGTTTTGTATAACTTATTAATATAACAATATATTTTCATGAAATTAATACAAATATATATAATTACATAAAGAAATATATTTGCAAACATAACTCTCTTTCTCTCTCTCTCTCTCTCCCTCCCTCTCTCTTTCTCTCTTTCTCTCTCTCTTAATATTTATGCAAGATTTAGATATTCAGTGAACATTTATAAACAATCATAAATAGATTACTAACATACTTTTTCTTACACATGAAACATTGAATAATGAATTCTTATAGTATTTTTTCGATTTGATTCCGAATTTTAATTATAATTTTCGACGTACAGCGAGTGTTAAAAATGATTTTCTGGCGTGTTTGTTACTACGCATAAAGATCTTCGTATGGTTTTAACGATACTTGCCAGGCAATCATCACTCGATACCAAAAAGACGATCTCAGTGATCGAAGCTTTAATCGGAAGAAATGTTTATTCGACTTCACACGTGACCGAGTGTCGAATGACCAGCAACGATAGAAAGAAAGAGTTCATGCGTTATCACGGTGCCCCGTTCCACGTGCTTAAGTTTATTGCGATCCTTGAGAGACTAGTTTCGAAAGGATGGCACTCTCTCTTTCGAGAGGTCGTAAAAAAGAATTTTGCTCGTAAATTACAAGAGTTCGCTCTGATATCCCATCGAAAAAATTAGTGCATACTGCAAAAAAACACAAATGCTAATTAATTTTGAAATGTATCTTTAGGTAAATTAATTTCTATATATACGTTAGATATTCATCAAGAATCTCTTTTTATTGCTTTTTTATTTAATCTCAATAACATTGAATTTGAAAACATATAATATTATAAATTCTATTTTTTAGAAAAAAAATTTCTTATCTAAATTTTTGGAAATTAAAAAAATTTTTTTTGATTTTTTGATAACCAGATTTTTTTTTTATATATTCTTTAATTGTATATCTGATAACGCATTTATTTCAGCATTTACTTTATGATTTGTTTTGTACAAGAAATTACTTTTTGATTTAGAAAACTTTATTTAACTGATTTATAAATATGAGAAAAATCGGTCGTTTCTTTTGCTTGGTTCCATCAATATGATAGACATTAATTTTTAGAAAAAGTTGCATAAAAAGAGAGAGAGTGAGAGAGAGAAAGAGAGAGTTGTTCCTTTTTTCTTGTATCATTATTTGTAATAAGAGATAAGAAATAAATAGATCTATTTTGCCACTAATTTATTCATAATCCGTTAAATTAGATATTTAAAAAATTGTGACTAAGGATGTTAAGCCACACGGTGGATGTTGTAGACCACGAATTCTCAGGAGGAGTTTATTTGCCTTGGAGCAAACGAGCCGACGAAAGAGGAGCATCGTGGCCATCTTGTCTCTGTCTTCATACTTCCTCTCTGCGCCGGTTCTTCTCCTCGCGATCTACGTCATCCATCTGTTTATTTGACTCATTTATTGTAATTAGGACACCAAATATCGACGTCGTATATAAATTTTTCCAAGTCCAAAAGCTGCAAAAAAGGAAACTAACTTTTTCAAAATATGAGACGATTATTCAGTAAGTTCTCTCTACATAAATCTCTCTCAAGATTAAATAATAAACATTACAATAATACATTAAATAATATAGCGGAAAATTTAACTCCTTTCTTTAATTTAAAAAATTGAGAAAAACTTTATGTGGAAAGAACAAAAAAATCTGTTATAATCGTAGAATATTACATTTAAATGTCTTTAAGTAAACATTTCTTAGAATCAGTAAAGTTTATACGCTGTAACGGGATTCGTGTCTTAAGGGTTGAAAGTCAAGTGCTTTGGTCCTTGTAATGATTGCTCCTCTCTTCCTTCTGGCTCCTTCAAACCAAAGGCAACCCTCGTAGATAGTGGTACTGCCTGTTTACCGTTTTACTACTTTCGAGCCCTCCCGTGACATTTTCTGCGACAGCTTCAAGTGCTTCTCCTTGAAGAAAACTAATTAGCTTCTGCCATAAAAACCAGAGAAAAGTGGGAAGATGCGTGCCACATCTCGGGTGGCAATCAAATATTTGTATT